AAAAAAAAATGAAAAAAAAAAAAAAAAAAAAAAAGTCTCTTAGACATTCTACTCTTGACCTAAAAGGAGAAGTTTAAATCCTTATATTGATAAGCTAAAAGAAATGGTCAAATACATTAGCGTGGCTTTGTTGTCAAGTTTTTGGAGTCTCCTTTCTGTCAACAAACCAGCCTCCCTCAGCCCAAAACTGCACCATAATTAATTCACAAAGGGAGACACAAGAGATTTGTTTGAGAAGAATGCCTCTAAGTTGGAATCTCCTTCTCGTCGATGATCGCACCACGACCAATATTGACAATCACTCCATCTTTTCCTAGTGCAACCATCACCTCCCTGTTGATTATATGGTGGGTTTCCTCAGTCAACGCACAACAAATTATGAGTACTTCACAGTTGGCTGCAAGTTCATATACATTGGAATAGTAGGAATATGGAGCCATTGACTTTTTGATCCGCGAGTAATATGAGATTTTGCAGCCAAAACCCTCCAGCCTTTTGGCAACTTCAGAGCCTATTTTCCCCAATCCAACGATTCCAATTCGCTTGCTGCTCAACTGTGAAAATTTCCAAAATTCATCCAACCAAAACATTCAAATCAAACTACACCTTTTCCATGATTAACCAATTAATTAGCTTTAAAAACTTGAAATGAAAAAGGAAAAAGAAAAAGAAAAAAAGAACAGAATTGGATTCAATCAAATAAAGGCCAGTACTGAACCTTTAATCCGAGAGGAGAACCCCCTTTCGTTGACCAAAGCCCTTGCCTCACGAACCGATCTCCCGCCGACACTCCTAAGAACGTCGATAGTAATCCAATCGCCATATCGGCGACATCTTCAGAGAACAGATTTCCTGCATAGGCAATAGCCAACCCACGCCGGCGTAATTCCGGCAAGTCCAAGTGATCGACACTGACGCTGGCAGTGACGACGAGCTGGAGCGAGGGGAGGCAGTCGAGAATGGCGGAGGTGAGTTTGACAGTGCCACCGCCTCGGATAAGCAAGGCTGTGGCGGATTGGGCATAAGAGATAAGGAATTGGATTAGAGGGAGTTTGGAAAGCCATGGTTTTAGGAAATGGAATCTGTTTGGGAATTGGGATTCCAGATATGGGAATACTGGAGGCGGACCTAGAACCAACACTTGGGGAAGTTCCTTCGCCTGATCTTCGGGTGGCATTCTACTTGTTTCTCAGAGTGCCGCCGCCTCCCTGATTAGGAAGGGAGTGAAAACCCCCCCAAAATATATTTCCTTCACGATCCAAAATCTTGGGAAAATGACCTTTTTAGTCGCTAATAAAAGAAAGGTTGTCTCCTGTGCTGTGCTGGTCGACCTCGAACACTCCTGGAAATTAGTTTAAAGAAAATGCCACTTGAACAATTTTTTTCCCACTCGGCATGGCCCGTAAGTCCGTAAACTGATGCACTTGACTATCAGTTTGTTTTGATAGTTCTTACTGATAGTTCTATTGTTCTTAAAACTTCATAATGGTTAGGTTTGATTTATATTTGATTTAGTTAGATTTAGTGGTACGGGATTTGATTTGTTTTGTTTTGGATTTATCTTTCCAGTTTTCTCGTTCCTAACAATACCCAAGTAATAGATACTTACAAGTGGTGTGTTTGAACCTTTGAATGCGCTTAATAAGAAAAGAAAAGAAAAAAAACTCTTATTTTCTCCCAATCTGGAGTTTGGAAGCCAGCGGAAGTTTCTCCAAGATTAATGAGTATGGTGCCAATAGCTGGGCATAAGAATAATGATGAGTAGAGTTCGTATTTGTTGAAATAAAACATAATTCACCATCTTTGTCTCTCTCAGGCTGTAGAGGGCGCAAGAAAGTGAGCTGAGAGAGCAGGAAGGAAAAATGGTTACGAAGATGTACCCGGTAGAGTAGATTGTTGAGATATGATTCAAATATTAAAAAAGATATGATTCAAATATTTAAAAAGATATGATTGTTGAGGTATGATTCAAATATTCAAACTAACAAGATTTTAGGAGATGTGAATTTTTCTAGATTTCAATGATTTGCACTTCAGCATTCATCTATTCTATCTCTTTCCCTATCCTTTTTTCAACTTCAGCATTCATCTATTCTATCTATTTTATCTTTTTCCCTATCCTTTTTTCAACTTCAGCATTCATCTATTCTATCTATTCTATCTCTTTCCCTATCCTTTTTTCAACCGAGATGCAACAAAAAAGTTGGAAATTTCTGTTTTGAAAAAGTAGATAAAATTTTATTTGGTCACGCATACAAATACTTAGAAAGAAGCATCGATGAAATCCTTCCCATCATCCTCAAGAATTTGGAGTTTGGAAGGATCAATTAGGTCAAGGCCATGATACCCTTAAAATTAGGTATTTTTTTGGAGTTTGGAGTTTGGAAGGATCATCCTTAAAATTAGGTATTTTTTTGGAGTTTGGAGTTTGGAAGGATCATCCTTGAAATTAGGTATTTTTTTGCCAGATTAGTTCGCTGCCGTCATTAATGACACGCGCTTCCTATCTGTATTGTTTCATGGTATTTTATTGGAAAAATTAATTGCTACTTTATCAGGTTTTACTTTGGTCAGGTATTTTTTGAAAAAAGTATGTATTTTTTACAAGTTTGCCTGCTGCATTTGCACCCTCATCTATTATTTGGATGCACCAATTTTAATATATTGTTAACCACGTGCCTTCTAGAAAAATATATTTTTGTATAAAATATTATTTTGAATTTTATACTAATTTGGTTCATTTTAGTTGCATATTTTTTAAAAGTGATTATATTATATCCTATTTACAAATTTTAAGCATAAATTTTACTCACTATAAAAATCCTTTTACATAAATTTATAGCTACATTTGAAAAAAAATTACTACTCTCCAATGGAATCATATCCAATAATTGACTTTTAAGGCATTTGAATTAATTGATCAAATTTTATGTTCAACTAACCCTTTAGAAATAAAAACTGTCTACTGGAAAACCTTTCGAGCTTCCTATTAAATTGGCCAAGCACTGAAGGCATTTATTTCCACAGCTGAATGATTTGTTCAGTGGCTACCATGGTTGCTGCGAAATTTCTGTCAAACCCCATTTCAGTTGCAGCTTTATTGCTGCTGATTTCCATTGTTGTTCGGCAGATTCTAACTCGAAAGCAGAGGAAGAAGAAATATCATCCAATTGCTGGCACTGTCTTTCACCAGCTCCTCAATTTCCACCGATTGCATGATTACATGACTGATCTTGCTCGAAAGCATAAAACGTATAGGCTTCTTGGGCTCTTCAGGAATGAGATTTATACTTCTGACCCACCGAATGTGGAGTATATACTCAGAACCAACTTCGAGAATTTTGGCAAGGTATCTCTCTGTTTCTAAACCCTTTTTTGTTCTTGTTGGAGTCCCTGTAAGGACATTGCATTTACCAAGGAATGAGGTTTTCATCCTAGCTAGATTTCAAATAATGGAGGGAGCTTTTGGATTTAGTGGTGATTTAACATAGTATCGAACTAGAGGTTTTGTGCTTGAATTTGTGATATCATTTTTTCTTCCAATTACTATTGATTTTCATCTGTTGAACATGTTTTAAGCTTTTGGATTGATGTGATTTATTTTGTATTGTTGATGCTTCAAACATGATGTTCTTCAAGGACCATGATTTTGACTGAGTTCTTCACCATGCTATTTAGGGGTCACATAACCACAGAATTCTCAGGGATCTTCTTGGTGATGGAATTTTCACAGTTGATGGAGAGAAGTGGCGTCAGCAGAGAAAGATTTCAAGCTATGAGTTCTCTACAAGAGTTCTGAGGGAATATAGCAGTGTCATCTTTCGGAGATCTGCAGTTAAGCTAGCTAAGATCGTCTCCGAAGCTTCTACTTCGGGTCAAGCAATTGATATTCAAGTAAGTCAACATCTGCTAATGATTTCAAACACGAGTCAGCTTTAAACTCATTCAATTACTTGTTTGCAGGATCTGTTTATGAAATCAACTCTAGATTCAATATTCCATGTCTCATTTGGAATTGATCTAGATAGCTTGCATGGAGTAAATGAAGAAACGGGCAAGTTTTGCAATGCTTTTGAAGCATCAAGTACAATGACACTATGGCGATATGTTGATGTAGCTTGGCCACTCAAGAAGATTCTGAATATTGGGTCAGAAGCTACCTTAAAAGAAAACATAAAGATTGTTGATGAGTACATATATAAGCTCATTCACAACACACTCGAACAGAGACAAAAGTTATGCGACAAAACTTCGGTAGATGAATTTGTATGTTTGTTTTGCTTTTAAACTTATATATGGAACATGACACTGATTCTTCTGTGGTATGTGAATTTAGATGAGAAGAGAGAACATAGTTTCGAGGTTTCTGCAAGCGGAAACAACCGATCCGAAGTATCTAAGAGATATTATTCTTAATTTTGTCATAGCTGGAAAGGACACAACAGCAGTTACCCTTGCTTGGTTCATTTACATGCTTTGCAAGCATCCAGCAGTGCAGGAAAGAGTTGCTAAAGAGATCAAGGAAGTGACGAACGTTGAAGACGTTACCGATTTTGCACAGTTTGCTGCAAGATTGACTGAAGAATCTCTAGAGAAGATGCAGTTTCTTACTGCAACTATTAATGAAACTCTGAGACTCTATCCTGCTGTTCCAGTGGTAAGGCATTTCCTCTTTAAATTTGAACATAGTCATTGCTTAATACTTCAAGTTACTCTCAAGTAATTGCACTGACTTAACAGTTTACCTCTTCAAATAATGTGTAGGCTATGGCAATTGACTTTGAATACTTCTCTTTTGATGGTAGTGAAAGCACTTAATTAGTTCTCTTTCTGATCATCTTTGTGTTTTTTGAATTATCATAGTCACTTCTAACTATTTGTTGAAATGCTATGAACGGTAGCCACTTCTAACTATTTGTTGAAATGCTATGAACGGGCTACCGTCTTTACGTGATTATCGATATTAATTAGGTGAGAAAATAAGATGACATGTAGTTCAAACACAAAGATCAAACACAAGATCAAACTTATAGAAATCACCAAATTGAGCAAGTGTTGTAAGTTCTTGGCTGAACGAATCGACCGAATTGCAGGATGCGAAGATTTGTTTTTCTGATGATACACTACCAGATGGATTCAGTGTAAGGAAAGGAGATATGGTGTCGTACCAGCCATATGCAATGGGTAGGATGAAATTCATATGGGGTGATGATGCCGAGGAATTTCGACCAGAGAGATGGTTAGATGGAGATGGTAATGTCCAGCCTCAGAGCCCTTTCAAATTTACAGCCTTTCAGGTATGTGAGATACATGGAACACAAATACGAATGATTATCGTGTTTTTTCCTCTTTCAAAGTGATTTTGAAATAGTTAAAGTCACTCCAAAACACGTCTTTCTTTAATCATTCGAAGTGATTTTGAAAATGACAAATGTGATTTAAACCGTGATAATGTACAGGCTGGGCCACGCATTTGCATGGGAAAAGAGTTTGCTTACAGGCAGATAAAGATTATGCTATCTGTATTAGTGGGCAGTTTTAAGTTCAAAATGAGTGATGAGAAGAAAATTGTGAAATATCAACCAATGATCAATCTTCTCATAAAAGGAGGCCTGCAAGTTTGTGCCATTCCTAGATCTCCCAACCACTTCAATTCCTAAACCTCCAAGGTATTATCAACTTTGGCACCTCATTTCTTTTCCTTATGTAACCTCTAAAATAAGATGGATATCATGTTTGTAATCGTCGTGGGATCAAAATTTTAATCTATATTTACAGTTTTAATAATATGAATATGAGCATCACATCCCTATCTTTATTGTACTCGGCATTATTGAACCGACAGTATAGTTTCAATAGTGTCATAAAAGTACTTGCAATAATAAGGAAGGCTCATTATGAACACCCAAGTTGAGTGGAAAATAATGGAATTGCTGCTCTTTGTTTTCCTTTTCCTTTTCTTTGCAAGCTGAAGCTTAAATTATAATTGTACCCTGCTTTGGGAGAAGTAGCAGCGTCACGTTACCATACCCAGGATTTGGCCCTTTAAAAATTTGGCTGACAGGTAAGAGTTAGTAACATAATAGAATAGAATATACAAATAATGGAAGAGCTCTTGGTCATTTACTTCTCAAATGAAGAGTGGACAAAACTGGAAAGCTCAATCTCAAGCCCAGTGCCTAAGGCCTCACAATTTCAACAAATAGTGACATACATACAACTTGATCCCATAAAGAATGGCCCCGCATGTAACATTCTAGTATCTAGAAGCTAATGTATATTCATAAGATTTGGGGCTAGTCTATCACATATTTTACAACGTGTAACCAACAAAGGGCCAGATTTTGGACAGCAAGTGTGAGGACTGGAGTTACATCTCAGTAGCAACGATGACGACGACCTGATAGCTCTATATAAGCATGAAATTAAAGAGGCAAACCTATTGAGCATAGGGCCTCGGCTTAGATCTCCTTCCACTCCGTGCTTGAGAGAAAAAAATAAGAGCAACAAGATATATCCATCGACGTTTCAGTGCTAGCAAATATATATGATGCAGAATTTGTCCAACAGCTATACAAGTATTGAACTCTTTTGTTGCCGCAGAAGGCTATGATTTTATAAGAGGGCTGAGCCCCTCACCTTCCCAGCCAATCTTCAGCATTTGATCTACGACTTTCAAGCTCAACTGAACAGAACAATGATAAGAAGTGTCAAAACAAGTGGGATTTTAAAAGATAATAATCTACATATTCAGCTACTTGACTTGTTTTCATAAACTTAGACAGGTAGGTTAATCTGTTTGATAATGATATTGTTTTTAGTTTTCTGCTTCTGTCAATTGTACTCGTTGTCTCATAATTTCTTTACTACAATGTTCACTTCACATGGTCCCGAGAAATTGTATTAAAAGATAGGGAAAAAATCAGGTAGAATTATTAAATAGCCATGGAAATATGGAAGGTTCTTACAGCGGGATCAGTGAAGACTATTAACTGCATATCTGCAGTCGACACCAAAAGATTTGTGTTGTCTTTATTTAATGCCAGCGCAGTGATATCCTGCCCTTCTTTGAGTCGCAGCGTATGGAAAACCTGTAGGATAAAGAAACATAACGAGGATGGAGATAATGAGCTTATCGTATTATGTATTCAATTTAATAAGGAAAGAAATTAGGTAAAGCTACTTAGTTCAATTTAATAATACCTTCAAAGTATGCAGATTCAAAAAGCAAACAGAAGGAACCGGAACATCTAATCTCTCATCTTCTGAAGTTTCATCAGGTGTGAAGAAATCATTGGACTTAAACTCCCAGCTATTAGTGGGGGTTCTATTGTTTTGGGCTGATGAATTTATTCCAATCAAGGCACTCTCCCCATCAACAGATATTTCCATACAACTGATGCTGGAAGAGTACGGAAATGGTGCTCTAGCAATTAGATTTCCATTCAGAGTAAAGGTTGAAAGAGTACATTGTGATTCGTTCCAAGTCAATATAACTCCCTCGGAAGAAAGGCTTACAGCATGGGCCTCTATACCAGCCAACCTTCTGATCAACCGACCTCTTCTGATGGAATGTATCAAAACATCCGATGACTGGGAGCATGAAACAACAATACCAAGATCTGAGTTCACACAGCAGCACACAACTTCACGGTGGTGACCCCGAAGAACATGTATGGGACCCTCAATTCGATGCTTCCGGCTTTTGTCTGCCAATATAGAGGATAAATTACTACCACTGCCTGATGTGGACATGTCTGTCCCCATGGCAGTTTCTGACACGGCACTTGAACGACTGGTTGACAATCTATGTAATCTCCAGATTAGCAAAGTGGTGTCACGGGATCCGGTGACTAGATAATTGCTATCATGAGAAACACTGACACAGGTTACCGGTGCACAGTGCCCATACGCAGTTTCCAATGTTCTTCCTCTATCTGATGATATTAGCTTCACACTATTGTCAACATGTCCGCCTATTTCCAAAGAAAAAAATAGGAGCTAGGTAAACTATTATTGAGAATACAAAGACGAGTATAAAACTAACCATATATGCATGCATGCCTTTGAATAATCATAAGAAAATATGTCCTGAACGAGAGATTAGCTACTTATGCAGTAACAGTTAAGTTAGCTATAGAAGTAGAGATCAAACAGAAGATGTTTTCATAGCAATTGAAGTAGATTATGACTGATATAATTTTCACCTATGCTCTACAATCTGTAGGGAAGAAATACTTCGGACATGAAAACACTAGAAAGTTAACCTGACCATTTTTCGTTTTAGAGCTTTTCCTCGTCTTAAAATTTCCATTAGGAAAGTTTTTTCTCTCTCCTTTTGTTAGGGATTGATAGGGAACGATAATTACATTGATATCAAGAAATCACAAAAAAGTGTGAAGGTCCTATCAACAGGAGTATAAAAAACTGCTCCATTAAGCTCAATGGGATGAAAAACTACGATTACAAAATGGAGTAAATTTTCACGTGATAAAGATAGGTATAAACTTGAGGAGATGTGAGATTTATAATCATGCTATTTATAGGTGTAGATGCGAGAATTCCTTTCAAACCATATACACCATAAAAAACCAAAATGATGTTAAGCTCAAGGATCCTTTTTTCCTTCTCAAAGGGATTTTTTCGAAGAGAAGTTTAAGGATGAGAATTAAAGGATAAAGTCGTAGATAGATAATTAAATAAATGCTTACCAGTGATAATGTCTTTGTCCAAAGTAATGGAAACAATAGACGAGCTCCTGATTCCAGATGCAGCATATGCTGGTGCCTGGGGAAATTGCCATTCTTCGGCAGCAGAGCCAGCCTGCCCTTTGAACATGCGCATGAATGTTCCACTGGTAGAATTCATTGAGGCCTTTCCATGTTGAAAGAGGAATGGTGCACCCTGGCCATCAGGGGTGTTGGGCTGCCACTTATGCTGTGCCACATGTGCCGCAGGTGCATTTATGTCAACAATAACAACAGTATCTGAAGTTGCATGAATTGCGGCTGCAGGTAGGTTGCAGCGTTCTGGGGTGGGAACAGAGTATGATCTGATATCCTTTGGGTTCCGAAAGATCGTCTGATATGAAAATTTTATTTAAAACCAATGAGTACATGTCACATGAAAAAAAAATTAACTATGCAAATTTGTAATATTCACATGAAAAAACCAAAGAGTATGATCTGATATCCTTTCAGTCCCTAATGCATAAGGGTACTTCCCCCTCCTTTTAGAATGTTGTAAGCAGAGTGTCATAGCTCTTTCTTCTTTGTTTCCAATTCTCAATTATTAGAGTTAACCACTTCCCTATTTTCAGCCAAATCCATTATTGAAAGTGGACACTGGAACTTCCCTGTCTATGAGCTTTATAGAGTCCAGAGGCAGTTGCACCCATCCTCTAGTTGGAGTAGCATCCTCCAAGAACTTGATCCTATATTACCCCAGAAAATTGATTGAATTGTTTATTTTGGTCTGGCTTTAAAAATAAAAATTTTGGTTTTGGGAATACTTTTATAGCTACTTAACATCAACTTAAACAAAGTAGGCCCCAGACCAGCCCCTCTGTACCAATCCACTCAAAGGTTTTAAGGTTCCCAGACCTTCTCAAGTCCATGAAGTTTGTTTAGAACCATCGGTTTTTGCCTTGTTCTTCATTGCATGCTATTTTCTATGAAATTGATGCGGCGAAGACACATCCACACCAATCTACATTCATCAGTTGCCTGGAACCTACTTTGTTAAACCATATTGGTCTGGTAAAATCCCTTCTATAGAATGTTAGACCACCTTCTATTCTTTCTAGAACCATCAGCTTTTGTCTTCTTTTTCATTGCATGCTATTCTCCTACGTCACTAATGCAGCCCTGACACTCCCACTCCAAACCAACATTCATCGGTCGCCCAAAACCTACCATTTGAAACCTTAATATCTTCTAGGCCTGGTATTATCACTTCTATAAAATGTTATCTACCAAATGGACCACGTCCTCTTTTCACCACCTTCAACAACCCAAAAAACACACCTAATCTGTCTTTCAACACCATGCGACACTTGCAATATGCAGATTAAATTGTGAGCCCTTCTGACAGAATTCGTTTTGTGTTGAGTTTCTTCAAATGACCCAAACCTATTAGTTATTTTCAACATTCAGTCTTATATCTTTTGTCCAACCCACTTTGATTTGATAGCACCCACCCCCGTCAACAGATGTAAGACCTACCCATGCTCTACCCTTTCCTCCTCTTCCAATGTCCCAGGTAGATGGATTCCAATTATTTTATTAGCCTAGTTTCAAAGATTTTTAAAAATCAGCTTCGCAGTCTCTATTTTCAAGGAATTTATTATACCAATACATTTTTTTTTACCAGCCAAGAGTGAATTTCCAACAATGTTCCAATAGCTAGATCCATACTCAATAATGATTTCCTGAATCTAGTTTGATAAGAGTCGATGTGTATTATTCGAGAGAGCTCTCTCTCTCTTCCACGGTTGTATACCCAACTCTAAAAGAGTATGCTGACACATAGAATAACAGATGCATATACATTATCAGAATTACCAACATGACATTTGCTTATACCTGCAGATGGAGAACATCAGCTAATGGCTTCTTCCTCAAATGAGGCACAGTTAAGAGTTGAGACGGAGTTTGACCAAAGTAGGCAATTTGATCTTGTGTGGCACGTTGTTGTACCTTTTTCAAATTGGGGAAAAAAACAATTTAACAGAAATCCTGCTATTTGAGGGAATAAAAATGTAATGAAGATGAACATACAGGGTCAGATATTTTGTCAATATCAACCGTCCCC